GAAAAAAATAAAATAATTTAATTAATTCAATATAAAAAATAAAAAAATTATTTAGTTTCGGTTCTTGTTCGGTTCTTCGGTTCTTGGTCTAGACCCGAGACCCGACCCAAACCCATCGGTTCTCGATTCGGGTACCCGTTCGGGTATTTAATCTATGAAGAACCGCTCGATTCGGTTCGGATTTGGTTCGGTTCGGGACTTTTGGACACCCCTAATATTTGGTGTATTTGACTGACAACGTTAAACATGATTTATAATAGTGTAATATTAGTGGTGAATATTATGATGGTCGGTTTTGAAAATTTTAAGACCCTACATTCATTATTATGAGGCCTTCAAACGTAATTTTTTTTTCAAGTATAAAAATAATTAAATATTAAATAAATAATATATTTATATTTTAAAAGAAAACTTAGTAGAATCCAAAATGATTATTTATTGGAGGATTGAAAATTATCCTATCCATTTTGGACACTTTTGAAACTCGTAATAAATGACACATTATGAACTTGAGAGAAAATTAATTTGAATAAATCAAATTCTAGTTATAACCCATTAAAGCAAAGTGCTTAATGTGTAATATTAGTTTCCAAATTTAAACATATTGCCATAAAAATGTTGGGCTCATTTGGTAGCTCATTATTAATCATGTATTTTAAACTTAAAAAATGTCATTTTTAGTAGGCATGAACTAAAGTTAGAATTGATAAAATAAATTATTGTTAAATGAATTTTTAATTAATTCATCTTTTAGTTGGGCCATGTAGATTCTTCCATTATGAGGCCCTTTCGGATTAGAGGTCCCAGGCTATTGCCTAGTGGGCTTGGACCTAGGGCCAGCCTTTAATATTATGATGACAATTAATAATGAATAATATTATTTCCAAAATAAAATTTATATAAACGAATTCCTCAATTGTGTTCTCGTGTCTTGTCTAATTGAGTTCAAGTGGTATAGAAGTAAAGTATGCAATGTATTAATAGTTAATTAAATGACATGTCAAATTCAATATAGAAATATTGATAAAAGAGATAAACACTGGGAAGAGGAGGGTTTGAACGACAGCTCTGATTTGTGATTTGATCTTTCACTTATGTCTTTGGGGATCAATGGGGTGAGACATAGATATTTTTTCTACTACTTTAATACTCAGAGTTTGCAGTAGTGGCATTACATTTGCATTGCATATCATGCGCATTGCAATTGTGTTCCATTTCTTGCATGACTGTTTGATTTTTTCTTGATAGTTTGTGGTATTAATGTGGTTATGGTGTCATGATGATAAGCATTAATACTACATCTCAAACTAGTTTGCTTATTTAACTGATTATGCTTCTAAGTATTTTATTGCTTATTTCCGGTATCACATGCTTTTATACTGGTATGTGAGTTTTTGATTTCGGGATACAAGATTAACAAAGTTGAAGTTGCATTCAGTTGGTTTTGTTGGACTTGGGTAATTTGGATAGGTTGTGTTTGTTTTGTGTTTTGTCAAAAAAATGTCAAAATGGGAGTTTATTAAGTTTATATTTTATA